TTATATTTGTGAGAGTTTAAAGATTTGTAGTTGTATTTGTAGTTCGGAGCCCCGGGGTTCATGTCTGGTTTGTTCAGGCTATCGACTTTTATGTCGAATTTTCTTTGGCCTTATGTGGCTATTAGTGGAGATATATCTAGTGTGCTTGTTGCTAATGTATTCCTCCTTATATAGACTAGTCTCTCTGCATGCGCTTCTGCACCTACGAGAGGTTTTTTTATAAAAAAAATTTAAGTTTATTTTAAAATATAAAAAAAAGATAATGGGTAGTCGTGTTCCATAAAAATAGGATCCATTTTCTTATTTTAATTTTTTTAATATGAAAAGTGTGAATTTACCATATTATCCTCGTTTAATTAATAATTTAAATTCTTAATGTTTGGCATTAACTAAGGGTATTTTCTAGTATTTTGAATGTTTCACCATTCTTTGTCGTTTGCTTTATATATATAGCTTAACTGTAAGTAATCACTGTGTTTCCATATTTGTATTAACCTATCATAGTTATCTGCATTTGTTCTAGCTCTCGTGGTTGACGATCTTTGTACTTGATTTATGAATAATAAAAAAAGGGAAAGATAAATCCTCACGATTTCATGAGAGAGAAAACTTCCTCCACCACCTCTATCTCTCTTTTAACTTCCTTCTTTTTGTTTTGGACAAATCTTTTAACTTCCTTCTAGTCAGAGAATAATTGCGCAAGGGAATAAAACGAATTGGTCCAAGGTGTTGTGAACTGATGAAGAATTGAGATCTCAGCTAAAGTGAGTAGCTACATGATAAATTAAAGAGTAGATTTGAAGCCAATGAATGAGGATTCTACGTTCGGTGACAAAATGGCGGCAAAAGGCATCACATGTGATGTAGTTTTCCTTTGCTTTCCATTCACTCCATGACAGAAATTGGAAGAATATATCATTGCATTTGGATATTGATTCAAGCTGTTTTAAGTTCAGTGGTTGGCAGGTCAGCTTCCATAATTTCTCGCTCCTCTCCTTGGACTATCGAGTACTACATTCGAGTCTTTTAGTTCATGAATTTTGTTGGGGCTCTTACAGATTGGTAATGTTGTTGGCCCGTGATTCAATTGTGGGCTGTCCACTTCACTGATTTATTAAGAAAAAAAGAAATAATTTTCCGTTGGATTTTGTTTTTAACAAAATCATATTTTGAATTATTATAATGTAGAACGAGAGGATCGAACTTAGGTGTAAAAGCGCATGCACATTGCCATATAGCCAACTAACCTAACCTAAGTGTGCAATTCCGTGGGACTGAAGTGTCTATAATGTAGATTCATATCTCTTTATCATTTAGAGTTGGGCAGATATCTCCACCACCAGCAATGACTTATCGGCCAAGGCCATCCTTGCCAGCGATTCCCTGAAGCCGGCACGACCCTCATTTTCTATACTGGCTCCTTTTCTTTTCACACACACTTTCTGCACGTATAATATTTGTTATAAGTATTGTTTGTGAAGGATTAGGTAGACACAAGAGATTAAGGGCTATCGAGAGTCATGAACAATTAATTATTAATTTAATTAGAGAGTTAGTTAGAGCCATGAAATATAATTAATATGAATGATTTGGATAAAGGATGGAGCTCCGGGTTGCTGGCTGTCATGGGCAAGTACGTAGGAGTGAAGGGGGACCAATACAAGTTGCAAGTTTCAAGCAGTGTGCTATGGTCGTTGGCTTGTTGCACAAAATAAGCATGTCCGGGACCCCGCTATGTTGGATAAGACATGATTACTGACTTAGTTGGCAACCAACAAAGCCAACTACTTGCTCTCTACCAAAGCTAGCCAACTATATATATATTTAATACAAGCGATAGTCTAAACTACAAAAGAGAGGGGGTTTCATACTAGACACTACCAACGTGTTATGGGGAGTTCAAACTTGAAACCACATGTGTGCAAGTCAAGGCTCTTATCAAGCTGTGAACAACTAAATAGGCGAGCATGATGCTCTAAGAAAACACTAAAATGACAACTATTTTATTAAGTGGTTAATGGTTTTGTATTCAATTCATTTTTTTTACAAAGATGATCTTCAAATAAAAACTTAAAATGTAAATGCTTCGTATTATTAAAATACAATGCGGAGTGTTCCTCACATAAACTCATTTGAAAAATTTCTCAATTGATACTATTGAAGAATATATGAGTCCCACATCGGAAACTTAACAAAATAGAAAGTCGCATATAATAAATGGTTTCACTCATAATAAAATCGAGGCTTTATGTATAAAACCCCACACTTACTAAACAGATGGTTAAGTTGGAAACAAGATCAATATAGCTAATTGTGAGCCAAAAGTCCGTCCCTTTGAAATCTCAACAGATGCTATATATTTATATAGCCCGCACTGCAGCCACAACTATAGTTGCTCAATGAATCCAGTGTTATGAATAATCATGCATGCGTAGGGATGTGATTGTGAATGTGATATTCACGTCCAATATTATAGGTTGTGGATCCCATTTAGTGGGAAATTTGGGTACCATTCCATCAGTTCCATGCTGATTATGATATGCACACACGGCCCACTTTGAGGTTATAGTGGCTGTAGGCGAAAACCGAAAAGGGGTCCTACATTATACATATAGCCTAATTCCTTGAAAGAAAAATTGTTAGCTTTTAATGGATAACATATATAACTAAAGATGAAAAAAGGAATATATGGCTTTTGATATTCTACCATAAAGAAATTATATGACTTATCACCGAAAAATTGAATGTAAAACCAATGTGCTAGAGATATTTAATTTTTGAGATAATTTTAGCAATGCCCCCTAAAATATAGACCTTGTTTCACTTTGTCTTCTCAACTTTTAATTTGATTTTAAGCCTCCTAATGTTTCAAACCGTATCAATGTGGCCCCTTTCGTCAAGTTTGTTAATTCCTTCGTCAAATTTAGGGGTTGTTTTTGTTCATTCAAGTTAAGATTTGGTTTACCCACTTAAACTCTAATTAATTCGACCCATTCTTCCATTCAGAGACCATTTTCACCTATGAAATCCCCATTTTTGGCCTAGTTTCACTTTTTCTCTGTTGATTTAGAATATGATTTGAATTGAAGATTTGATCATGTCAATTAGGCTTTAAGTTGGTAAAACCAAATCCTTGAGTTGGCCAAAATGCAGCTGAATTTGACAGAGGAATTCGCAAACTTGATGGAAGGAGGCACATTAACACGTTTTGAAATATTAGTGGGCCTCAATACCAAATTAAAGTTCATAGGGCAAATGGAACAAGGTGTATAAATCAGGGGGCAATGCCTTCTTTTTAGTTTTAAAAAGTTGAATGTACTCTTTTAAAATAAATTTATGTTGGCCTAAAAAACAGTATTTTGGTTCTAAAAATAAAAATTTTAAAAAGTATTTAAAAAAAAAATTTGTTCTGGACCGTTAAGCCTTGGTAGTGGGGGCCTATGATGGAGTTGGATTTAGCAGTCGCATCCTTGCCCACTCGTTGACAATGCTGGGCTTTCCTTATTAAGCCTTGGTAGACTTCATGGACTATGGGCTTCAAAAAAAAAAGTATGGCACCCGACTGAACCTAGGCTGCTCTTTAAAATTAAATTTAAAACAAAAACACAAAAAAAACTAGTATAGCCGGTTGGCTATACTATTAATTTAAAAACCATTTAGCCGCACGGCTATAAATTTTTAATATATTATAATTTAAAGAGTATAGCCGTGCGGCTATACTATTAATTTTAAAAAACCCCGTATAGCCGCCCGGCGGTACTATTAAAAAAATTATATTTTTGGCAAATTACAACTGAAAAGTTCGGCCACTACATAATATTTTACAATAATTTATTTTAATATATATTATTTGAATTCAATAATATGTGAAAATTATGTGTGTAATACTTGAATTTGTTGTGTTTTATTGAAAACTTTGTAAACACTACATGTATTAAACATGAAAAATATGTACGTATGTGTAAAATATATGTATTGTATGTTTGCTTTTTAAAAGAACTTGTATTTTACCGAGCCTTTAAGACCTGTTTGAAAAACGGAAGTATTATTGAAAAATATGCATACGTATGTATATAATACGAGTATTAAACGAGAAAATACTAAATTCTTTATACGGATAATAACTCTGGAAAAGTAAAAAATCAAAAGGGGACAATAAGTACTCGAGTAATGGTCTAATAGTAACCCCCAAAACACAAAGACCCTAGAATATCAAACCCTAGAAACAACAAGCAGTTGTCGTCGTCGCCGCCGCAGCTAGAGGAAGAAGAAGAAGGTTCAAGGGAACCATCAAAGGGGATCTGTAAAGCGTGGGATTGGAGAAGGAAGCCACCAACATTCATCATGCTCAAGTGATCCATGAGCAGGTATTGGTCCAAATGGACCATTAAACTACAAAGCCCACACCTCCATAACATGATCTCAGATATGAGGATGGGTTGTAGGGGAGAAACAACAGCAACAAACAAGTAGACAACCAAGAAAATTCTAGAGAAAGAGGAGGATTTTAGGGTTTAAGTTTTCCTGGAAGGGGGAGAGAAATGGACTGATAGAGGGTGAGTGTACGTATGAGAAGAAAAAAAAGGATGAGAGAGGTGAAATGGCTGAAGAGTAGTGGGGGAGGAGATGTGGAGGAAAACTAGGCCTACAACTGGAAAATCAAGAGAGGAGGGCAAACAGACTCTTCATTCCTGAAAAGATACCACCAAAGAGAACAAGGATGGAAGCCTATTGGACTAAGACAGATAATGTATTCATCCAATTTTCCTTGAGTACCTCCTTGTTGAAAAAGTAAGTCGATCGATATGACACAAAACGTGAGCAATTAATATAAACATACACTCTTGCTTGAGCAACACAAAATTGTTAGCATCATGAATATGACTTACAAAATTAAGTTTTATTTTGAGCGCTCTAAGCTCAATACATATATGAATTCACGTTTTTCATATTTCTTACACTAAATATAAATCCAGTTATAACAAGAGGATGTGCTCCCCTCAACAAGTAGGCAAATCGTGAGGTGGTGGTAGAATTTTATTTTGAGGACTATTGCCATTTTTGACTAGGAATACCACAGTCATTCCCCATGTTTGGTGGCGCTCTATGTGACAGTGCATCAACCACACACCTGCATCAACCATACAAATAATTAGATATGAATTTTTGAAATTTTAATGAAGATCATAAACAAAGTTATATATGAATTTTATGAAGATTTAGTATAATAAAAAATGGATTGTTGACCTGGATTATCAGCTCTGAATCTGATTGCAACCCAACCATTCTTATGAACCCCAACTGTATTCTCCTCTGGGGGATCAACAAGGTTATAATTCAAAGGGTCTTTCTTGGGATTGAAGTTTCCAAAGCCCCAGCCAACAACATAAAAGTTATATCCATGCAAATGCACAGGATGGTTATCACTTGCTAGGACATTAGTTCCTTGCAAAACCAGCTCAACACTTGCATTGTACTCCAAAACCACCACCTTCGTGCAGTAGGAAGGCGTCAACAGGTTCTCAGGAAGATCTTCACCGGTATAATTAAATTCCTTTGGGGGTTTTTTGGGAAAATCTTTCTCGAAAACTCCCGGGATCTTATGGTAGTAAGCTCGAAGTATGTCGATGGATGGGGCGACAAAGCTTATGTTGTTCACACTGGCAGCAAATCTTTTACCAAAAGGACCAGTGCAAGGTTTGTTACTACAATTAAGGAGGTTTACTGAAATGGTGAAGAAGAGGTGGGTGTTTACATGTAATGGGACGTTGGTTGGGTGATCTTTTGTTGCAAGGCTCCTGATTCTCTTGGTGAAGTCAGTTGATGCTTGTGTTCTATCATAAGGGGGCAGATGTGGAAATTTATAATGAGGGAATTCGGGAGGTTCATGGTATGAAGCTTGGTATTTGATAATGGCCGTTGTCATGGTTTTGTCAAAACCAGCTCCAATGGCACTTGAATATGCTCTTGCAGCCATGAAATAGAAGCTTGGAGATTTGTTTGCTTGTAATAAAACATCCATGGACTGGCCAGGAGCTATCATAATGTAAGAGGTCTCAATTTGTTTTGTGTAGGATCCGTCTCTTCCTACCAATATCATTTTGTGGTTTGCTATGCCAAAGAAAAGCTCTTCATCCATTACTGCGCTAATTATCCGAAGCAGATAGGTTTTTCCATGCTCCACTGTCATTTCGAAAATCCCTGCGTGCATACATGTTACATTATAATGTTATCAATTAATACTTAACCCATGCAAACGGTGTGTTAGGATAGTTAGCCAAGACAGTGTGTTCGTCCACTTGCATATGAGTTCGAACCCCCTTCCCGTACATTAAAATAGTTTAGAATATTGCCTTGTGAAAAATAAAAATAAAATTAAGACATATACATATATGTATTTGTAATTAAGTAGTTCAAATTTAATTGTTTTTTCTTTTTTAAAACTATCTATGTATATGGATTTCCTGATGAGTTTGGATATACCTGATTTGGAGCATGGATAGAGATGGCCTGGTTTCCCATTTATGGTATATGCATCTGACAATATAGGCTCTCCTCCTGTTATATTTGCATTTCTTGGTATCTCCATTACATTTTTCTTCCACCATTCACCTATACAACAAGAAGATTATTAGGGTTACTGAAGAAAGCCTTGATGCTTTGAAAATATATGTGGCGAAAGCCATATACATATGCTTTGCAAACGTTATTGACTAAATTTTTAGATAATAATGTTTCGAAAACGTTATCAAAAGCCTTAGTGCTTTGTAGTGTCGACGGACACATCGTTTTTGTTAACGCTATCTCATACTTTTTATAACGTTTTCGGAGTACTATCTATGTCAATCTGTGTGTATTATGGATTCCTCGAAAAAATTTATTTAAAAAATTCCTTTTAAAGTAAGCCTATCCAACATCAAAAGAAATGAGGTTGATTTGGATAGAAAAAGAATTTGGCAAATAAGATATAGTCTTTTTGGGAAAAGACATAAAAATACATAAATATAATGTATTTCAAATTACTACATACAATACAACGCAATATACATACTATGAATTCAATATCACTTGGTATATACAATGAATGATTTGAAGTTGATGGATTTCTTCTTCTATACATACATATTTCTTTCCATGTAAACAAGATATAATCAAAATCTCCAGATTTGACATCCCCCTTTCCAAATGGAGCCAAATTAATTAACAGCAAGCATATTATTGTCACAACTTTGAGGGTTTAATTGTAATTATCTTCCTACGTACCGAGTATGATTGGAACCTCTGCATAGGGTTTGGAGAAGGGATAGTGAGAACCAGGCTTTGGATAGACCAAAATGGCACCATGAACTGTTGCTCTTGCCCATCCACTGTGTGCATGCCACCACATTGTTCCTTCTTCTGTTGTAAACTCAATTTTGTAAGTGTACTTGTTTCCTGGCCTAATCGGGCACTGTGTAATATACTCAGGTCCATCTGACCAGGGATTTCTTGGCTGCTTAACTCCATGCCTGCAAATTGAATGTACATTCTAATCAAATTGATCATCATAACATGTATATATTTATTTATTTTTGAATGCAAACGATAGCCTAAAACTACAAAGAGAAGGGGGATTGCTCACACACAGACACACTACAAAGTGTTATGGGGTTCAAAAATGTAAGACCACCGGTCTACAAGTTAAGGCCAATTTGCACTGGACTAGACCTCATTGGCAAAACATGTATATTTATAAAATTGCTCAAATAAGCCACGTACCAATGAAAAGTGATATTGTAGTTTGCCTTGTTATAGACCTTAATGATCATTTTATCTCCTCTATGAGCTTTCAAACTTGGCCCTGGAAATTGCCCATTCACAGTCAAGATGTCTTTAGTGCTACATAGTCGAGTATAAGAAGATGACTTCACCTGCAAAAGGGCGTGCAATTTACAAACATGATTGGAGAGAGAGAGAGAGAGAGAGAGAGAGAGAGAGAGAGAGAGAGAGAGAGAGAGTACACACCACAAAGTTATGGCGATGGGTTTTCCCATTTGCGGCATCAAAAATAAGAAAAAGTTGAAAAACAGAGAAAGCAAAATGCACTATGCCATTAGCCATAGTAGGGGACCAGACCAGAACTTTCAAAGGCCACTATGGTGCTTAAAATCTCAGATTGTTACCAGACTTCTTGTATTTCTACTCCCTTTCTTCTTCTTCGTGCTCTTTTCTTTTTTTCTATCTGGACTGTACCAATTAAGAACAATATCCTTCTACATGCCTCATTTCCTCCCCTTACGGATTTTAATCTTCAAAATTTACATCTTTCTTAAATAAGCTGATCTGGTTAAGAAAGTTGATGCAGCGAATACATTAAGAGGATTTCACTACTAAACCAAATTTAACATGACATAATATACAACAAAAGCCCATATAGAGCCTATTTGGAGTGAAAAATCCAAAACTAGCCATTTTTGTTATTTTCTAATTGATTCTTATTTTAACACATTAAGAACCAATTATAAAATGACAAGCGGCTAGTGGCTAGTTTTGAGTTTTTCTCTCCAAATAGGTGCTACATATATGAGTTTTTGTATAATATGTCATGCTAAAATGAGTTTTTGAATAAATATCTAATACCCAAAAAAAAAAAAAAAAAAAAAAAAAAACTCTCTCTCTCTCTCTTTCCTTTGCGCTCTCCCTCTACCAATTTCTTCTCCCCCGCCCCATTCCCCATGACCACCACAACAAGCTCCAACCCCCAAACCCATACCCGCGCCACTTTCCTAATATTAAAATCCTGTAATTACAATATATTAAAATCTCAATTAAATGCACATTTTATGGTTAGAGATGGCCTAAAGGGTTCGATAGTCCAACCGTTGTAATTACCATCTATTAAAATTCCAATTAAATATACATTTTATGGTTAGAGATGGCCTAAAGGGTTCGATAGTCCGACCGTAGTGATGTTAATTATCGTTACATCCATAAGTAGCGTATTACATCTTTATTCCATATCATATATGTCCGAGGATCCGCATAGCGTCAAATATTGAAGCATTTATGTGGTAGGCAATTTATTAGTATTTTAAATAACGATTTGTGTTTAGTGAGCACGTAAGTCAGTTTCCCAAAAAGATTTCAAAATAAAAAATAAAAAATTGGTCTTTCTGTCGCCGTCCATCTCTCTGCTACTCCGTCTCCTTCATCTCTCCGGCTCCGTGTCTCTCAACCCTGCGACTCCGTCTCTCTTTCAGTCAAAGACTCGAACCCTAACCGCAGAGGCGCACACCATCAGTCCGGCGTCACACCATCCTCAGGCTCTCATCTCTGCGACTCTCTCTGTCTCTCTTTCCTCTGGCTCGCTACTTTGGGTAATTTTTCGTTTTCCTTCTTATCCTTGTTAATTTTTTTTTTTTTGGTGATTCACTGTTCTTTCTCAAACTTTGCGTATTCAAATGGCATAGGATCATCTTGCTTAAGCTCTGTTTTTCCTTCTCCGTTATATTCTCACTGAAAGATACTATATTCTTTTGCATAAACCGGAAAAAGTTGAAGTATGGACAAATTATATAAACCAATTGCATGCTTGTACTGTAAATTGCTTAATCTTTTCGTCCCTGCATATTCTTGATTGTATTGAATATAAATCTTAGCCATACCAATTTCTGTATAAGCTGAAATTGAATTGAGTGATCAAATTTCTTAGCTGACACAAGTTCTTTTACAGGCTTTCATTTTGGAGATCTGGTGCCACAAAGTGCACTGTTCAAAGGGTTTTATAGAGAATTTACTCAGATAGAGAGAGGCATGGCTGATTCCAAACCTACAACTAGCATGAGATGCCATCATTGTGCTGGTCCTCTTTCCAAGGAGATGGAAACTAGCGGGTGGACCGTTCCACCTCTTATTAGGGATAGCTTTTCTATGGTATTGTTCTCTTCTTTTCTTATCTTACCAGCCGCATACATATATTGGGAAATTTAGTTGGTAAGTGAAATTTGGACTGATGATCTTGTGTGGTGATTGTGTCATGGTACAGATTGGCTCTGCGGTTGGTGGCACAGCAAGTGCTTTTTATGGATTCAACCATGGTAATCTATTTTTTGTCTTCTTTATTCAGTTTTATTAAGATTTTCTACTTTCATCCTATGGCGTTCTTGGTGTATGGTTATTACCGCTTGTTCTAAACTGTTATTTATGTCCTTTGGCATGATGACATTCTTAAATGCTTTGAGTTGTAGAATAGAGTTAGCTTTTTGGGCTCTTCTTAGGCTTCAGTGTCTAAGAATTTGTAGGCATCTGTCGTTTGTTCATTTTCTAAAATTTTTAGGGTGTTTATTTATTTTTTCCATAACATATGTGAAACATCTTCTCTTATTCCCCCAAGTGGAGTTTTGTAAATATATATATTTTCTCTTCTTACCTTGATGTTGGCAGTGTTTTCTTTAATTATTCTGTAAGCACAAGATGGAGTCCTGGTCCTCCTTTCGTTACTTTTCTACTTTTCCTCCATTTTCAATAAAAATTTCTGCTGTTTTTAATTTCTTTCTGAATTGTTTGATTGCATAGTAGCTCGTCATCTTATGGCCATTGTTTGTATTGTAATATGCATTCAGCTCTTCCAAAAACATTGAACAAAAGGGTGTAATATCCCTGTATAAATTTTAGTTAATATGAAGGTGTGTGATTGGTGCAACTGGACCCAAAAACTTTGATTCATACTTCATCAATACATATTAGGGCCTAGATAATAATTGTGAAGTAATGCAAATGTCCATAATTATCTTGGAATTCTCCATTAAGTCACCAACACCAGTTCTGGGGTGTGATAGTTATGGCAATAGAGCGTAGGTGGTAGTCTACTTTGGAAAAAGTTTTCTTTGTTTGGTTGGGGTGCCTGTTTGACCCTGTTATTTGACAAGCCAGTTTGTTTTGAAGCCTCAAATGTATGTAATTTTTGAGTGGTGATCCCAACTCAAGAACTAGTTTAATATGCAAATAAGATTTCTTATTGTAATGGTGTTATGTTATTTTGAATATGTACTTTAAATACATAAGGGAGCTGGATGTCACTATATGCTTGATTATGACATTGATATGATGTTTGTCTTGCTGGTGCTTTGATTGTGGGGGGATAAAAGGTCCATGATTGATATAAGGGTAGAACGGTTTGAGAACTGTTATTTATGTAGGTTGCATAGTTTTAGTGTGCCCAAAAGACAAACGGAACTTCGCCAGTGTTGTTTTACATAATTTCCTTAACTTATGCTAGGAATACATTAGAATTTAAGGGATTAATCCTGGAGTCAGGCTTCAATGGCAAGTTGCAAAACCCACCTCCAAATGTGAATTTTGGCACATAAACAAGGAGTGCACTATTGGTATTGTGTTGAGAGTGCATATTTGTATCACCTCTTGGTAGTTAAGATCTTCTCCCCTCCTGGAGGTGACATTTCTTCCCTTAGAGGTGCTAAGTGCTACTATAGTAGATTTAAGGATAGAACCAAAATACCCATAGCAGTGTCTAACATTTGGACTTGAAATCAAATGCAATACTTGGTTGAAGCTAGTGTGCCTCAGGTAGTGGGTTAGTTGTGATTGAAGGTATTTAGACAAGTAGATACCTAGTAATAGTGCAAGTCAAAACTTATGTTTGCGGCTTCCCGTTTTCATATGACCAGTGGGCTTTTCACAAACTCAGGATGTGGGGTCTGACTGGACACTTAGTCCCTTTTATCCTAGTGTGGAATGTATATTCGCAAATTTTTCAAATTGCCTATCCCTGTATTCTGAGATGTGGTTAAGAAAGAATATGTTTGCAAAGACAGAGTGATACAGGGCAGCGGCTATTAGCGGTTGTCCAGCAGGTAGAATAGGACAAAATAATAGTTTAGACGGAACCCAGCGATAAACTGTACAGAGAATAGGTGGATAAAGCAACAGAATACAAGTTGGAATGAATATGATTGAGTTCTGGGGCAAAGAGACCGAAAAGAAGCTTATATAGCCATCAAACCCTAGCATAAACTTGACTGAAAAGGAAAACTAAACCAAAGTCAGGAAAGTGAACCAAATCCTAATTGGAATAGGAAACTGAAAAGAAGTAACTGGAACCCTAGCCCATACATATTACTATTAGGGCTTAGAATATGTTTGCAAACTTTGTTCCATAAAAATGTGGGTTGTCTTTTCATGCTTATTTTATGTATGATTGGGGCACCTGAACCCATACATATTACTATTAGGGCCTAGAAAATAATTGTGAGACAGTGAAATGTGCATCTTATGGAATCCTCCACTTAGTCACCAATCCTGGTTTTCAGGCATGACAAAACGAATTTTATGATTCAGCTCTCTCCTAAAATATTTCCCTCCTTAGCTATGAAAAATGAATTTGCTTCAAGTATCTTAATCCCTTTGTACATTGCCATGGCGTGTGCATGTCATAAGATGTTATTGACAATCAACAATATACATACATGTCTGTGTTTATGCTTTTGTTTTTGGTCAAATGACTGTGTTTATGCATACATGCATGCATTCTTGTGAACTTCTGTTTCTACCTTTCATGAGCCAATGCAATTTTTGTTTTGAGGTATTGGCAGAAAGGTTTATGAAAATATTAATATCTAATTCTATCTTCGTTATTTTTTTCTTGGTGCAGTGATGCCTGTTGTTCGGAGATGGGTAAAAGGACCTATGTGGTTACATTTTTTCATTGGTGTAAGTTCTTCAATTCTTTTACTATTTTCAAAATACCCTGCTTCTTATCCCTAAGGATGAAAATGTCAGTATCAGTGTATTTTGATGGAGAAAATAAACTTTGAATTTGAACAAAACTCAGGATTGTAAAATGGTGGGTACTAATTTCCTTGTTTGGGTTCATAACATGGAAAGAAGCTTGACCTTTGGGACCAAGACTTATTCTGGTTTGTATAAATACCATATTGTAGTTATGAGATGGGATATTAATGTGAAAATGAAAATTTTACATTGTGTTAGTTGCGTTTCGTGCCAAATTTGTGGGCCGACTTAATATTATATGTGGAGTTAGGCTGTTGAACTCTTAACCAAAAAAACAAAAGAGTTTGGCTGTTGAACGAGGAGGCCATCCCAAATGATGTGATGTACATGTAGCCCTGTATTGGTAATTCTGTACATGGTAGGCCAGAGTTATTTTCTGGTTATCTAGAAAGGTTCTGTTGAACTTTTTGGTTGGTGGATTTCTTGCCCCTGCTTGACATTGTACACTGTTGGCTTTTGCAATAAAATATTTGTTTCTTAAAAAGAAAAAATTTGGGCTCTTAAATGTTTCAGGATTATATGTTTTTATTTATAGACATATTTCAAGATTATATTTCATTCGATTTGTTCTATTGATATCTTGGACATCTCTTTATATTCTAATATACTTGTTTAAAAAAATAAATGAAAACTTTTTTAATATTAAATTTGAGAAGTGTTTTCCATTTTAAAAACTGTTTTTGTTCGGTGGCAAACTCCTCCCATCGAATAGAGCTTCTCCAATTTGGAATTTAAAAACATTTTTTTCTTTCTCATTTTCTAAAGGCAACACATGTTTTCTGAAATAGAAAATAGTTTTGGTGTGTAACCAAATGGCCCGCATATTACATTCTCGTTGTGTGACTGGTCTAGATATTTGATGAAACAAATAGCCAATGCATGACACATGATGAAAATTTAATCTGGTTGATAGGAAAAAAAATAAATTACACTATGCCTTGCCTATATTTGAACATTTGGTTTTTCATGGGTTGCATTTTTGCAATTTATTTTGGTTACTCATCTGCATGTGTTTGTGTCTCTGCATATGTACACTTTTCAATCTATGTTCCTAAAACTTTAGAGGTTTTGGGTTGTTCCTGAACTTGCTTTGTTGCGTTATTTGTATGTGCTAAATTTTTCTTTTCTTACTCTTAAAAAGATTGTGAATGACATAAGTCTTCCTTTTGAAACTGTAGGCTCCTCCTGTGATTGTATTCTCTTCAGCTTGTGCAGGTTTGGCAGGTCAGTGATTGTTTTGTTATATTATCTAAGATCATCAATGTGGGCTATTTGATTAGCTTTTACCTACTTTTGCTAATGTCTAGTGATAGTAATTTTGTTGGAGAAATAAACTAATTAAAGTTAACTTAGTCAGGCTGTAAATTATAACAGATGAAAAATCCGAATTGTATATAATAAATTAAGTTAATTAGCATATAATTTAAGAAATAATAACAAGATGAAAAGAAAGAGTAAATGTGAATGATTGAACTGAAAATCTTGGGATACAAAAGACTGAGAATGATTAGATAAAATAGATTAAATGAACTGAGTATGACATTGTAGTGATAGCAATCGACACATGTTACTAGCTTTCATTGAACATGATAACCAAGTGAACAAGCCCAATCAAGTCTAAGTCAATCTAAGTTACTTAACAGCCTAAGGTATGAGTTGTAGCTGAAATCCGAACCAACATGTGCTGATACCATTGATTGACAGTCTCTGACATGTTTTGCTCAATGAAATATGCCAAATCAAAATCCATAAACTTATGAAACACACTAAAATTTATGGAGCTTTATAATGGTGATCACAGCATAGTTTCGAAATTAGTGCTTGTCGCTGGTGTCAACTTTGAGATGGAGCTTTCAGCTTTTAGATCCGTTTGTCGTCATTTTTGTATTCACTGTCTGGCACTGCGCCAGGGCAACACTCGATGCGTGTAAATCTTGGATCTTGTTTTACAATTCTGCAAACCTCTAATAGAGCTGTTATTTAATGCCTTCTGGAAAATCAACAGGTGGGGCTGTTCCAGCCTTGGCCCAACTTGCTTCTTCCTCGTATCGTGCAGTGGTCTCATCGTCCTCGTTGCCTCCAACATCTGAAGACGAGAAGATTCACAAGTCCAGAACTTCCTCTACTCTGTAATGTACAACAGCTTTATGCAAGCAAGTGCACGTGAGGGAACCATCAAGGCCACCTGTGTAGTTGTCCATTTCATCGAGGTGGTTAATGGAAGTCCCGTCAGCTTCAGGCAGACACAAGTTTTGGTCATACAAAGTTATTATGCAAATAATTGTTGGGTAAATCTTTATGCTGTTAATTGAGCGAGTTCATAGTATGGTAAATACTTTGCTTTTGACTTATTTTTCCTACTGCTTTATTTTTTGTGTACATGTAAATTTACTGGATGTGTTGCAAAGGAAGGTGCGCTAAGATCCAATATCTAATCATACAATTGTTAGGCCAAGCAAGTATTTCTCGATTGTGGTTTATAATTGCTTAACCGGGCATGTAAACTAAATGAGTTAATAAAACTCCAATCCAACTCGATTTAACTATTTAAAGGGGTTGAACATGTTTTGGCGATACTAAAGGGTACGACGCTCGAGTGATTTGGGGTGATGGTCTCGCGGTCCTTCTGACATACGCTGCTGTCACATGACTGGGTTTCGAGGTGTGAAAATTAATGCTATATTTTATAAAAAATGGATCGGCAAGTGCTTGAAAAATGAATTAGAAACATTTTTCCAATACGTAGGATCTGTGATAAAAAGAAGAAGAAGAAGAAGATAAATGTACATGAAAAATGGATTAGAAACATTGAAAATTGGTCGAGGCAAGTGCTCGACACTCTGTCCTTAAGATAATTACGCCCCACTATGGTGCTCATGGTTGATCGGCACTTGTCTCTCAAAATACAATGATCACGTCTTTACGATTGTAGCACTTCAAATCATAAGACCCTAGCGAATCACGATTGTATTGAATACTCTCTCATACAAAGATTCAAACTCTCTATTACTGTGCAAGTGACTCACAAATGCTTTGAATGAATTGAAATTGAGGTTTTTGTCAACTATGAAAAGTTGAAGGTTCCAAGATTGTTGGTTGGTTGTCCAGTTGCTGGGATTTCATGGGGAGATTTAATGTAATGCCTTTTTGGTTGGAAGCAAATTCCCATATGTTCGTTGGAAGCAAATTCCCATATCTTTGTAATTTTATCAACGTCTTAAACATTTTCTCCAATTCATTAATATTGTTAACTAGTTGTATTACTTAATTCTGTTATTTTGTAATTAAAACTAAACGTGCCAAAACATGTAGAATTTAATTGGTCTGTTGAGTAAAATTAAAACCTAAAACCTCCTTAGACCAAATCAAACGTGACTCCAAGTACTACTGCCCATTCGTCAAAAAAAAGTTCTACGTTCTATATAAAAGAACACTCCAAGACTCAATTCTCTTTGCCTTTGCCTGTTTTTGATGAAACTAACAACGATGACGTTTGAGAGGAGAATGGATGAATGAGAGGAGTGGGAGACAAAATGAAAATGAGAGAAAAACAGACTATGATGTGTTCAGTTTAAATCCCTTAGATTAAATTTTAATGAGGTGGTATGTGTAGGACGAAAGTCAAGTTGATCACTACAGAAAAAATCATAGTAGAGAATCCGGATCCCAAATAAAATCACCCTAGTCTCATCTAAATTAAAAAAATTTAAAAAATTTTAAAAATTCCAATGTAAAATAATAATAAAACTAGAATTATTTTAAAAAATTAAAAAGAAACAACCTCAACACCTCGCCTTAGCAAAAGAAAAGAAATTTTGGCAAAAAACAAAAAACAAAAAAACAAAAAAGCAAAAGAAAAGAAAATTACAAAAAAATAACCCTCCTTCCCAGTCCGTCCCCCACCTTCTTTTCCCTGTCTCTCCAAAACCCACCCAAATCACATATCCTCTGTTTTTCTCTCTCCTTCTCTCATCTTTTTTTTTTTGGGTTCTCTCCGTTTCTCTATCTCCCTCCCAACTTCTCTGGTTCCCACTCCTCTCACTAGTTCTCTATTCTTGGCTCTCTCTCTATTTTCCCCTTCGGAGTCGCAGATCTTCATCTCCTTCAATTGGGTTCGACTGTGTTTGATGTGGAGGTTCTATTTGGTTTGACAGTGGTGGTTCAATTGGGTTTGACGTGGTGGTTCAATTGGGTGGTGGGTGTGGTGGTTGGTGATAGTGGAATAGGTTGGGCAATGGCTGCTATAAATTTATAATCTAATTTCAAGATTTTGAATTTCTTTAGGGTTATTGCAGAGCTGTTACAACATGGGCCATGATTCAGATGGTGGTTCCCAAGATGGAAGGGATGAAGGTAAGTTGGATGTTTAACTCAAAATGCATTTTTTTGCTCGCTCTTTGTTATGTTAAAAAAGGTTGAACTCAGAGTTGTAAGGAATAAAAAATTGCCTTGGACTAGAGCAGGGGGGTAACGACTTACTGGTACTGGCTGTTGATCCTAGGGAATTTTTTTATTCTCATTCCAAGTTCTAAGTTTTTCTTAGTTGTGTTTCTGTTCTTTTTGGCTGTATGTACACGGTCGTTGGTGCCTTTTATTGATTCATTCAGTAAAGTATTATTTCCTTTCGAGTTATACAACTTTGTGTGCTATGTATATTGCTGGTACATTGAATTGCGTGGTGTGGTGTTTCCTTCTAATGAGAAAGGTTAACTACTCTCTCCATGCTTGCTTCAATGATAGCACTTTGAGTGCACACACAATTACAAATATTAACAAAGTTATAGTTATATATTCCAATTCTCCCCTCTCAAGCTGATGCACCAAACTTGTCTATGAGTAAATGGAAGAAAGAGCTAGACACCCCCCTTTGTAAAGATATTGGCAAGTTTTCCTGCCTTTTATTTGGATATCTCAATTTTTCCTTGTCTGTAATGTTGTGAATTTATAAAATACACAGTTGCAATTTTAATTTTTTTGACCTTTGTAGTTCAAGTCTTATTTGCTATTGCTTATAGTTTTGCATAGCAAGTGTGATCTCAAATTTTTTTGTTTTGGTAGATGATGAGGAAGAATATGAGGAGGCTGGCAGGGGTAGTCGATTTCTTGGATTTATGTTTGGCAATGTCAATGACTCTGGTGGTCTTGATGCCGATTACCTTGATGAGGTAACCTTCCTCCCCCCCCTCTCATTTAATTTTGGGTTTAACTGTGGCGAAACAAACAAATAAGTAACATGAAGTACTTGCTTACAATTATTGAAGCTTGAAATAGATTTGACAAGTTATGGATGGCCATAGAAATGCATGTGCGATGAGTCCACCTACTTGGAATTGTTAGGGAATTCCAAATCTAAGCTCCTGTGGGCCGTGCCTAAGAACAAAATAGATCATAGACAAAATGAACACCAATTTACACGGTTCACCCCAAGTTGGGCCACATCCACGGGCCATAATTATCCAAATAAATCATCCAAAGGGAGCATAAAAGAAGATAACAACAAAGAACGTTTTGGGTCTCCCTCACACAGGATAATCTCTCTTTTCCCATGGAAGCACTCAATAGAGAAACTTAAACACACCCTTTCTCACCCCACAAACCTAAACCCTAAACCAAACAGACCCTAAAAGGCTCTAATTGTGACTATAACTATCTTGTTCTGCTTGAATGGGATTGAATTTTCTCTAGAGGTAGTACACAGCAGCCATTCGGCCACCCCAACTGAACAAGACACATTTTTAATGGAAATCTAATGTTTTGTTCTAAGGCTATAAGCCTTTCATTTTATTGGGGTCATGTAAGAGAGAATCCGAGTATCTTGAAAGAAACTAATTCATTCTTTTAGACCTCTTAGTCTTCCCAAATTCCCTAATATACACATACCTATTTGAATGTCTATAAGTTTTGACTGACAGTCCAAGAAAAACAAACACAAATATTGTAACATTTGTATAATCAAATGTATTACCAAATAATATATCACAGCACTTCAGATACTGCTTGTTCTACAAGAAAAGCATGAACAAGAAACTAAATTTCTGGCATGTCTTCTAAAGCTGACATGCAAGCAGCCGTTGCCATGAAATTGAAATATATTTTAAGATTTCTTGGTCCACTGCAAATTATTAATTCTGGGACATTCAACAATTTGCATCATTGTCTACCTGTTGAAGAGCACTCGCCCTCATGTTTTGAAGTGTTTAAACTCGACTCTATTTCTTTCATTTTGAGCTTGCAATAATGTTTTAATAATGATCTTGCTTCCTCTCTCTCGTATTATCATTATTATTTATTCTTCCATATATATGTATATATATTTAAAATTTTGGGTTTGTCAGCAATAATCATCCATTTAGATATTCATGAGTGTTCTAATTTTTCGCATTTACACTTTTAAATTGAATTCTAGTTTAGTGATGTAATCTTGATGCTGAAACCACAGGATGCAAAGGAACACCTCGCTGCACTTGCTGACAAGCTGGGTCCGTCTATAACAGGCATAGATGTATGGATTTCTCATCCATTTCTTTAGGTCTTTTGCTCTATTTGGTAGTCATAAATATTATCTTGGGGCCCATTGTCATGAATTTCTTATTATATTTAAGAGAGTTATAATTGCTTTTTTGCTTTTTTGGCACTTGCTTTTTAATTTTTTTTTAAATTTTAATTTTATTTTATGGAACTCTCTTATTCCTTTACTTGTGCTTTCTCCTACCCTTCTTTTTAACTCTCTTCCCTGATACGTAAATTTTTTGTTTGATTTTTAGCTGTCAGTAAAATCACCACAAACATCAACTGATGCTGTTGAAGAAGGTGAATATTGTGAGCCTTGAAAAACGATCTCATGCAATTTTTTGATGTTTTGCTAGTGATTCCTCCCCTCCCGCTTCCCCCGGTCCCAATTCATATCTATTTGTTATATTTGTATTACAATTTCTTTTATTGGCAATCAAGCAATATCATTTTAAGAACAAAGGAATCTAGCGAATGCACTATGACCACTCTTTCTAGATTTATTTGTGACTGCACTATGATTACTCTCTCTCAATTTATTTTGCTAATGCACTATATTTACACCCTCTCAATTCATTTGTGAATACACTATGATGCTTTTTGTATATTTTATTTAGTTTTTAGGTGATAATTCTGATTTTCCTTCTTCCAATTTTGTACCACCCAGAAAACCTTGGATGTGATTTCACGATTACAACCATTACTTCAGTCTTATTTAATTTGTCGTTTTAGCACTTTATGCATATGAAATATTTAATTCCTGGCATTCTAGGTTATACCCTTGATCTTCTAATTTGCTCCTTGAGTGGCCATTTGCCTCTCGTGGAAGATGGATTCTGTGCTAAGGGGCATAAAAATGTTGCAGCAAATGCGATAAATTTGTTTCTAGTGTGTTGCTGAGATCTTTAACCTCAGATAAATTTTTGTGATACCTGTTCTTTAAGGCTGTACATTGTACAATTGGACTTCTCCACTGGGTGAAGCTATGGTGATTCTAATATTCTCTGTGTTGTATTTGACCTTAGCCAGTCTGTCTGTCAGTCTCACGCTCTCATTCTCTAATAAATGAGGTGGAAATAAAAAATAAGTTCATCGTTCACATTCTTATTTTGTGAGTATGCACTCATTGTGTTCTCTTATGACAGATTACGATGAGAAGGCTGAAAATGCAGTGAATTATTTTGACATTGATGAGGATTTTGAGGGGCCTGAGATTCAAGCTGCAACTGAGGAGGACCATTTGTTGCCCAGAAAGGATTATCTTTCTGCTCAAGTTTCATTGGCTACTTTGGAGCTCACACATTCTGTGTTTGATGATGAAGATTACGATGAAGAAATTGAACAGGAAGTGGAACATGAGGTGGTTGAAAAAAACGTTGATGTTGAAACTATCTCTTTACCAGGTGTTCTCTCAGTTAAAGTTTTCTGTTAGTTGCTAACTTTTACACCATGCATTCATCAGTGTTTACCTAGATCACATATATCGATTTTGCTCATAGTTGTGGATGGAAAAGATACATCTTAAATGTAGTTGTATAATTTGATAGGTTGTCTTGCAGGGGATTCTAAAGGAGAAAAATATTCTGAGGATGATTATCAAATTGGCGGTTTGGACTCTGAAAATTTGGATGCTCATGTAGAAGAGTTTCAGGTCTGTTCGTGATAATATGTATAAAAAGTTGAATATCAATTCTTGCTCTCGGATATTATTTATTCTGACATGTTACTTGTAAAGAAAGAATTGTTTTCATTGTCACGTATGTTCATTCTGTTTCCTACCAAGAAAAACATTTTCTCTGACAAGTCGGGGACATGATCGTGGATACAATTATATTGTTTCCTAAGCAATGCATACTAGACTACATTTGTATTTTGTCATATGTCTATATTTGTTCTCTAATTTCTTTTGTGATGCTATACCTGATGTAAGGAGACAGCTCATTTGTGAATGCAAGTGATTTCTTTGTCATCTAGTTGAGGGAACACGTATTGCTGCTCGTTCTTTGACTGAATTGCATCTTGACAGTGCTTCTCACTATTCTATTAGTCTTCATTGATGTTTACATCTCTCTTGGCCTTTACAGGAAGCGCTTTCAGATAAAAGTGCCACGCCGCTGCCAGTTCTATGCATAGAAGATGGATTGGTGATCTTAAGATTCTCGGAAATCTTTGGTATTCATGTGCCCTTGAAGAAGGCAGAGAAAAGAGAACATAGATACTCTGTTCCTAAAGGTATGTTGCATATATATGGAATCCTCCTTGATGCCTCCAAGGATAAAATTGCTAGGACAGAAATTACATATCTTAATGGCAGCAAACTACTGTCTCAAAGCATATGTTACGTTAAAAATTATGTTTACATTTTTTTTTTCTTATGGGTAAAATTTTAGTTGCATTTAGGTTATCTTCCTGTTAGACAGGTCTTCTAGTTTTGGTTTGTATCTTATTGCTTCATCTAGTTTTATTTTTAGTACTGTTTACAGAATTAAACCAACATCCTTTCAGATAGGTACAAATCCATGGATGTTTCGGATATCATTGAAGAGGATGAAGAGGCATTCTTAAAAGGATCTAGTCACGGATTGCAATCTTTGAAACAGGCAGATGCAATGAAATATGACATCTCAGCACTCAATGACACTGACTCGGAAAATGCAAAGTTTGGTGTTCTAAAAGCGGCTAATTCAGTCGCTCTGCTGGATGACGGGCCAATAAAGGATTCCTGTCTCAATGCAGAACCATCGAAAGAGGATCTAATTTATGATATTTCTGTGGGAAGGCAGTCACCTTTGTGTTCAAAATTTTATCCTCTTGATCAACTAGACTGGGAAGAAGGAATTGTTTGGGGCAATTCTCCTGTAGCAAGTGACAATTCTGATGAGAGTTGTGAAATTTCGGGACCTGATGAAGTTTCAATTAATAGTGAAACAGAACCTGATAGTGGGTCACAAAATATTCTGTTAGAGCCTCCAAAAGAATCTGATGAGAAGGATCATGCTGTTGTGCTGCATAGCTCATGTAGTCTATTGGAGCCTTTTGGCTCAAGAAATTCATCAGAACTTTTATGTCTTCCTGTCTCAGAAAGCAGATGCCATCCCCAACTTTTAAGGCTAGAATCTCGATTTGAAGTGGATGACCATACAGATGGTACAATGGAGAGTGTAGGTGAGAAGCTTCATCAGAGCGATGCTGTGAGGGAATTTAGCAAACTCACTTCACAGAATAGAGACATGCTAAAAGGATCCTGGTTAGACCAGATAATTTGGGACCCAGATATGCCTACTGGAAAGCCAAAACTTATCCTCGATCTTCAAGATGAGCAAATGCTTTTTGAGATTTTGGATAACAAGGAAAGTGAACATCTTAGGCTTCATTCAGGGGCCATGATTGTGACTCGCCCGGTAAACTTGAGCAATGGGGATTCTTTTGAGCTGCCAGGTCACGGAGGTCAATTTGGTTGGCGATATGTTGCTAATGATAAACACTATTCAAATAGGAAAACTTCTCAGCAACTGAAATCAAATTCTAAAAGACGCACAGTGCAGGGCATAAAGATTTATCACTCACAACCTGCCCTGATGTTACAGACAATGAAACTGAGGTTAAGCAAGTAAGATGGATTGTTATATATTCCCTAATTTTTCTTTATTTGTTCTGATACTGCTGCATGCATTCTTTATTTTGTTTGAATGTTGTGTTTTACTTTATCAGTATGTCATGGTTTATAATCACTTGGCTCAACTCTGTTTCAAAAACAGTGCTTATCTGCACATGTACTGTTAACTATACTGGGTCATGCATAGGAAAGAAATATGAATCACACCTAAACTGTAATTTCGTTTTGTTATATGATAATAGAGTAAGTCTTGCAAGGTTTTTCAGATTTTGAATTGATCATTGAGTTTAGGTAATTTTTTTTTGGTCGAAGAGTTTATGTAGTTTTTTTTGGGGTCAAAGAGTTTAGGTAGTTTTGCTTATCGTTTCAGCATAATCTTTCTTGTACTTGCACATGATAGATATCCCATTGACCATGGGTTTCAAGGTGATTTTATTTGTTAAACTTGTGTTGTAAATCTTCTATGCCACTCCATCTGACTTCTACTTTTGCATGTTATGCTGCCTAATTTTGTAACTCAAAAAAATAACTTTTTTGCAGTAAGTGTGTGGCTAATTTTCACCGACCAAAATCTTTATGGTATCCCCATGACAATGAAGTGGCTGTAAAAGAACGAGGGAAGCTCCCCACTCAAGGACCAATGAAAATTATCATAAAGAGCTTGGGTGGGAAAGGAAGTAAGCTTCATGTGGATGCTGAGGAAACAGTCTCTTCTGTTAAATCAAAAGCTTCAAAAAAGCTAGGTTGACCCCTCTCATTTTAATGTGTTTGTCTTGTGTATTTATGTTTAAGTTTTTTAATTGATGAATTCTTTTGAAGTATGTAGAGAAGTTTAAAAGCTGACTCAGTACTCTTGATTTTGTAGATTTTAAGCCATCCGAAACTGTGAAGTTGTTTTATTTAGGGAAGGAACTTGAAGATGATAAATCTCTTGCAGCCCAGAATGTTCAACCAAATTCTTTGCTTCATCTTGTTCGTACAAAAATATACTTGTTGCCAAAGGCACAAAAGATTCCTGGTGAGAATAAATCTTTGCGGCCTCCTGGAGCATTTAAGAAGAAATCTGACCTTTCTGTGAAAGATGGTCATGTGTTTCTAATGGAGTAAGCACTTCAAAGACCTGTTTTAAACCTTTTATGTTGTTCCCCTTTCCCCTGTATGAGTTGGTTTGCTTGATGGTTATTGTGCTATTCTTCCGATGCTGTTCTTATTTTGATTCTTATTTTGATCACCTTCATTGTTTTGTATGATAGTAAGTGTCAGATAGATGCTTCGCTTTGTATCTTGCAATTGAATTGTTTGTTCTTCGGACAACTTATCAATCTTAAAAGTATGAAATGATGTCTTTCATTGCTTTATTTTATGGAATCTTAGGACAACTTATCAATCTTAAGAATATGAAGGATCATTAAAGTAGTTTTCTTGATTTCTACAACTACAAGGTTTATGATATTCCAAGCACCAAAAGTTGTGCTGAAATCTTATGTTGACATCAATTTCTAGGGACTAATAAGGGCAGTGAAATGAATTTATT